AACATTATGGATTGGTATGATGGCAGTTAAGATAAACATTATTGAGACTTTTGAGGAACTCAATCTCAGTAAAAAGATAGGCAGTAGGTGAACCACCAATACCACAAAGATAGACTTGCAAGGAGGATTGAGAAAGTCCATTTTTCTTAAGATGCAGAAGTAAATGCAGTACAGTATGTATGGAGGGCTGAGAGTAGGCTTCATCCTGAGACTTAGCAAAGAGCACAAATGTTTTCCACCTGTAATTATAGTTACACCTAGTGGAAGGTTTGTGTGACTCCAGCAGGTTGCTATCTATTTCAGGAGAATGAGCCATGCCATCAGCTTGAGACATTCCGGTTTGGGTGGTGAACCACCCTACTGGATACAGTAAGGAGATCTGTGTCTACAGCCAACTGTCATAGAATAGCAAACCATGGTTGTTGAGGCCACCAGGAAGCAATGAGAATTGCACTGGACTTGTCCCAATGCAATTTTACCATGACTCTGTGCAACAGTGATATGGGAGGGAAAAAACTAATGTGAAGTCATCTCCTAATGAGCCTTGGCCCCGACCTTCCCTAGAGTAGTAAACATTGCACTTCTTGTTGGTCCGGGAGGCGAAGAGATTGATCTGTGATCTCATCCACTGAGTGGTAAATGAGTTTAAAAGCCTCATCCAACAGCTGCCACTCATGAGTTGCAGCCCTCTAAGGGCTGAAAAAGCCCACCTCATCTTTATCCACTCCAGCCACATGAATAGCCATTGGGTAATTGTGTCTATTCAAAAAAGGTCTGTCAGATATAGAAGAGAAAGGGAGTGAGACCCTCCTTGCTTGTTTATGTAGTACATGGTGGTCATATTGTCTGTGATCACCCTTACTACATTCCCTAGCAGGAGTTTCTTGAAGGTCTGAAATGCCTTCATTACTGTACTCAGTTCTAATTTGTTTATATGGCCTGACTCTCAGTGTCGAACCACTGTGCTTGGGTCTGGCACCCAAAACAATGTGACCTGAATGTGAGGCTTGAAGGCCCCTGATGATTAGGTTGAAGAGAAACCTCCAGCATGTGAGCTGCTGCACAAGCTCTTCGGTACCAGTAACATATTTCTGTTGCTGTCTTACAGAATACTGAAGGAGGCCAGGTACCAGGACGGCAGAAAATGCATCCTCAGACAAGAGTGTGGGATCACCAAGACTGTGGAGGCCATCAGACCAAGGGGTTATGTGCAGAATAGGCTGATATGAGAATTTACCTAGAAGCATCTGATAGAATTTGCAATCCTGACTACTTGCTTCTGCAGTAAGTAAGCCTTGGCATTTCAAGAGTCAAAAAATAGCATCAATAAAGGAGACTGACTTGGTTGGGCACAAAAGCAACTTTTCTAGATTTATAAGAAGGCTGAGATCCTGAAGAGGATTTAATGTGAAGGAGAGGTCCCATTGCACTTTCATCTTTGAGTCTGCCACTATGAGCCAATTGTCGATATATGGAAAAACTACAATCCTCCTGTCTGAGGTAGGCCACCACAGGAGTCATGCATTTTGTAGGCCACCCAAGGAGCCATGCACAGGCCAAAGGGGAGAGCTCTGAACTCATAGATGGTATGATTGAGAGTGAAGCAGAGAAAGCAGCAGCACCTGGGATGAATGGTGATAGGAATTTCAGATCCAGCACCATGAACCAGTCCCCTTTCATGAGGAGTGGGAGGATTGTCTCCAATGTGACTATCCTGAACTTTCTGGTATGAATGTTGCAATTCATCCATTGGAAATCGAGAATGGGTCTCAAGCCTCCATCCCTTCTGGGGATGGTGAAGTACCAAGAATAAAAGCCAATTGGGAAGAAGTGACCTCTGAATGGCATCCTTCTGGAGCAAAGTTGAAACCTCCTCAAGGAGGATAGGAGATGGCATAGTGGTTTGGAAATAAATGGTAGGAGGGAGGGAGGTGAATTCTAGTATATAACCATGTTTGACTACATCCAAGACCCACTGGTTACTGGTTATGGTGTGCCAAGTGGTTATAAAAGGCGCTGAACAATGAGGCTGGAAGGATTGATTGAAAAAGGATTGATTGAAAAAGTGAGGCTCTCAGTTACAAAGCAGTCAAAGCTGATGTTTTGTTTTTCACTCACTCACTCTGCTGGCCACAGAGACTGGTAAAACGTTAGGAAGAACAACCTTCAGAACACGACCAAACAGCCCGAAAAACCCACAACAACTATTAGATCCCGGCTGTGAAAGCCTTTGTGAATACATCTTGCTGTTCTTCTTGAAGATGTTTGTGTACCTCCTATACCAGATTCTCTCTCAATAGGTATCAACTGTTGTTTTCTTCTCGTGTGCAGTGCAGTATACCAGGCAACAAACTCTGAAACAGTGCTTTCAGTCCTCTGAATCTTAAAAATGTCCTTGTATCTTGTCTAGAAGACTGGTCCTGGTGTTGAGAGTATCTGGAATCTACAGAAAGTTTGAAGTTTGTAGACCTCGATCTGGAGCAAGAGGAGGATGATTCCCGTGACCATGCAGGCAAAGAAGCCCGATGTCTGCCTGGGAGACGTCCCTGAAACTGATAGAATAGCAATCGGCAGGCCAATTCCAAAGCTGGATAGGAATATGGCACACAATGTGGATAAAACATAGGATATCATTTAGGGTCCCAGGCAAGATTGAGCCTGACGGTGGTGAGACCATCTCCATTTCACAGTCAATATTGAGAAACACAAAGAGGCCCTAAGAGTGTTCACAAACAGGAACAATTTCCTCCACTGGGGCTGAGAGCAATGTTAAGGCAGAAGGTGGAATGGTCAAGGCAAACTTCAAACCTGAGGAAGTTAAAACCTTCCATTACACTGACGGGAATGGAACTGAGGAGGCATGACAGGTGTAGCCTTAATCCAGGACATCTCCTGGTTGGAATGGGAAACCAGGCAAATTAAAACATCTGTCTCAGAGGAAAAGAAGTCAGGGAGGAAGCTGTCTGTTGAAGTTTAGCTTTCTTACATTTGATTTTGGCTGAAGCCTCTACATCAGAAGACTTTAGTTTTCTCTTTTTGACTGAGCTGATGTGGCCGATTTTAACATCGATTATTTATTTATTTATTTATTTGATTTTTACCCTGCCCCTCTAGACAACGTCTACTCGGGGCAGCTTACATAAATTAAAACACATAAAACACCATTATACAATTAATTCTAAACAAGAGATTTCCAAGACGGCAATACTCAAAAGAAAAAAAAAGAAAGAGAAAATCACTTAATTAACTGGGGGGAAGGCCTGTTTAAATAACCAAGTTTTTAATTGGCTTCTGAAAACACCCAGCGAGGGTGCCAGCCGAATTTCAGCAGGGAGTGTGTTCCACAGCCAAGGGGCGACCGCCAAGAAGGCCCGGTTTCTAGTTATCCCCTTCCGGGCCTCCCTCAGTGTCAGTCCCCTCAGCCGTCCTTGCTGGCTATGTCGGGTGATTCGGGTAGATCTGGCTTTGATACTGAGGATTTCAATACTGAGGATAGACCTTCTGACCGAGATATTAGAGTAAAAGATTGCAACTGTTGATCAGAACTCATGGGTGCTCTCTGGTTAGCCAAAATTTGCTCAGGGAAGGCCTCAGAATGAGGGCCCTACATAATGAGTTTTGGAACTGTTGGTTGAGTAGTAATGGAGTCCACTACCTGAAGCAATTTCTCCCACAAGCGAGAGCAGAGACGAGATTGTCAGTTTTTTATTGCTCTCTTGGTTAACATTTTACAAAATCAGAAGTGCTGGGGCTGATTATCTTTACCTAACCAAAATAAACACTTAGTGTGTCCATCCAAAAAGGGCATGTTTGAAGGGGCCTGAGGAGAACATAAATTATTTGCATGAGGGCGGGGAGTTAATGGTATGGAAACAGCAAGAACTGAACACAGTTAAAACAAGCTTCTCTTTTCTTTCTTTAGAATGAAACAACAGGAAAAAAACAGGACATGCAAGTTGTTTGAAGATTGGAAAGAAAGTTAGTAGGCAGAATGCAGGGGAAGGCTTTGAGGGAATCTGAAGAAGAAAGGGAACCGAGGAGTGCTCCAGGGAGCGGGAGCATGTGTGCTGGTTAGGGAGAGCAGGGACAGAAACTCATCTCTTTAGGCTCTAAAACGTTCCAAGGTGTTTGCACAAGCATGAAGCAAGACCCAATATGTGATTTCACAGAAACCATGATGAAGAACATTTCCTGGAGAAAGGATTACAAATTCTGACAAAATAACAGAAAATTATTTTCTTCTTAAAATTCCAAGGGTAGTATTTGGTTCAATATTTGTATAGCGCTCCAACTGTGAAAGCTGCTATGTCAGTCTCACAAGACGTTGGTCAAATGACTGATCGTGTGGCCTTATAGCAAGTCACATAACTGGTACATCGTTAGGTTGATGTGGCTATTTCCACAGCTGGACATTTCAGTGCCATAAGTATTGAATGATGTATTGGCCCAATACTCCAAATATTAAAAAAACAAAAACCTTACAGATCAGTAGATATTATTATTATAGTAATATTTAAAAAATTATTTCTTATTATACTTCATAGATTACAAACTCCTCAGTGTCACATTTTAGTGTAAAAGCACAGAAAACATGAGAAAACATGCAATACAAGCATCTTATAAAAATAATTTAGGGACAGATCAGAAAGTAGATCCACTACAAGGATTTACACCAAAAGTGTTAATTATATTTGTACAATTATATTTGAAGCCACTGGCAATGGTGCGGCTAAAAATATTGTAAATAAATAAATAAATAAATAAATAAATAATGTCTTTTAAAGCATATTTTAATAGTAAACATTTATGATTTTTTTCTTTCCTTAGAGTTATCTTTACACATATGAAATCTAGCAGTTTGAACACTGCTTCTTGCAAGCAAAGTATTAGAATTCATTTCTAAATAACTATATGAATGTAAGGAAAAACCATATTAAGAAATAAAATCTACTAAGATAAAAGAAAGAAAGACTGATTTAGGTTACATTTTGCAACCTTACCCAGTGTTCCACAAGGCTTGTTTTTATAGGTGCAGATATCATATCTGTAAAAAGGGGAAAGTAGATATATTTACAAGATGTTCATCTTGGTAATACATTTTTATATTTATCACATTTCTGCATTCTAACTCCAGTTGTCAGACTGCAATCACTCAAATTACGTGCAGCCAGCTGGGGTGTTGGAAGTGCATTCTGTAATAAACCACAGGCTGCAATATGCTTACAGCCTCTGGCCTCAGGCCAGTGGGACACCTGCCAGGAAGGAAAAAAAGGTTAAAGTGGACCTTTGTAATCTCTAGTCTTATAAAACAGTCTGCCACTCTGTTATGAAGCCACAGTAGTATGTCTGCATAGCATTACTATTTCAACAACAATAAAAAGCTACTGAATCAGCGTTCTAAACTTGTTGAAATATTTTTTCCCTCCAGAGAATACTCCATACTGTATGATGCTAAGCAGTGATGAAGCAGTGGCTGCAATTCTGTTGCACAGTTATGCAAAAGATGTAACTTTTTAGCAGCAAACTATTGTAAGTTAAGAAATTGCCATAGGCACTATCTGTCTCACACCAAGTTGTGAAACTTGGTATTCAACAGATAATATCTACAGAGATTTCTTAACTTAGGAAATTTGGTACTAAAAGTTACACCTATTCCATAACTATGCAACAGTATTTTGGCCAGTGTTTGGATCCTAATATTTTGCAGCTAATGTGTTTTCTCAATGAAAGTGTTTTCTGAAACCCTAATTATCTAAATACTAGAATATTAAATGGCACATTAAAAGAAAAGCTTTTGGCTCTAGGTTTTGGTAGATTCTTGGCCAGCAGAATAATCAGTAGCCCCATTTGAAAATATTGTATTTTCCTCTAAATTTATCTTCCCCCACTGAAACCAAACCAAACCTGCTATATATAATTAAAGAATTATAATGATATCATATGTGCGTATTAGACTGGCACTCTGAGATAAGCAAACATTTGCTGCTGCAAATTGTGAATCAAAATTAACAATGAAGTATAAATTTACATTGTGCAAATAAAGGCACAAATTCAACAATTTACTATATTAGCAATTGAGCAGCAAATACCTTCTCCTCCTCCAAAGATGCAAGGCTCTGCTGTTTCTAGCTAGGAGAGAAACCAACCCACAAGAAGGAGCCCAGCTTGTTAATACAAAGAGGACTCCAGTTTTAAAACACCATAGCCCTCAACCAGCATACCCTGAGAAGAGGATGCTCCAGAGAAATATCTGGGAGGCAAGACTACCACCCAGCTTTGCTGCTATTATCTGGAACCTCGGATAATGAGGCTCCCCAGCTATGTGATTCATCTCCCTGCCACAAAATCCCAGCCCACCCCATCCCCAAGCTGCATCACAACTTTGGAGTTGGGGATATAAGGCAAACTGCTGTGAGACCTTCATTTGGCCAGCATACCCTGCAAAGAGACAACAATCCAGATGAACACATGCCAGGCAAAACTGTAAACCAGCTTTATTGCTTTGCTCTTGCTACCACCTGTTGCTACATGGCAGCTCAGAACTAAGCTGTTGCTGTTCCTTCATGTACAGTTAGGCCCCTGGGCTATGTAATTCAGCATCTCTCTGCCAGGAAGTCCCAACCCACTCTATCCCCTGCCTTCATCATGGCTTCGGGGCTGAATCCCACTGTGCTGTATAATTACTGACCAGTCTCCAACATCCCATTCTTGGGCAAGGTGCTTAAGTGTCCATTTCAATCTGGCTTCATGCCTGGAATATAGGACAGAAAGAGCTTTGGTCACTTTGGCAGATGATCTACACTGGGAACTGGACAGGAGGAGTTTGTCACTGTTAGCTCTGCTGGACCTCTCAGCAACTTCTGATATCATCGACTATAGTATCCTTCTAGGTTACTTCTCTGGGATGGAACTTGGTGGCACTATCTTGAGTGGCTCAATTCTTTCCTGGTGGGCTGATCTTCAGAAAATGTGTTGGAGGACTCTTATTCAGGGCATTGGCCTGCAATTTCCCCCAGGGCTCAGTTTGTTTCATACATTACTTAGAAACCACTAGGAGATGTTGTTTGCAGTTCAACGAACCAATTTCCTGATGACAATCAATTCCATCTCCCCTTTCTGTGTAAATCTGAGGCAGCTCGTTCAGTTTATAATCTAGTGTCTGGAATCAGTAATACATTTGATGAGTGTAACCAAGTTGAGGTTTTAATCCAAAAGAGAGGCGCTCCTGGTCAGTCAAAAGGCAGCTCTCAGTGCAATGGGCCAAAAACTTTGGGCACAATATTGAACTGGAGAAATGGCAGAAATTGTGGAATAGAAATTGTAAAATAACAATGGTGACTTTATATAAAGAAAATCTTTATAAAATGTTTTATAGATGGCACTTACCACCCGCCAGAATTGCAAAAATATTTCCAAATATGTCTAGTAAATGTTGGAAATGAGAACAAAAAGTAGGTACTGTACCTATTATCATGTATGGTGGACATGTGAAAAAGCAAAAAAAAAAAAGGACTAATATACACACATGGTTGGTTAAAATACTTTAAAAATGTATAGATTTTAAACCAGAACTGTTTTTATTAGGTATTTTACTAGACGATTTTGATAAATAGTCAGTTTACCCAACACTGCATATTGTGACACCTGCTGGGATTGTATTTGCAGAACATTGGAAAAATGAAGAAATACCAACAGAAGAAGAAATAATTAAGAAGATTTTAGATTGTGCAGCAATGGATAGACTCCCACTGAGCTCGAGAGAAGAAGATTCAGAATACTTTAATACATGGAATTTGTTCTATAAATGGCTAGAAGAGATTAAATCACCAAGAGGAGAAAATAGATAACACTGTATAAGCAAACCCACGTAACACAGTGTTTAACAAGCAGGAATTGAATGTAGATATAGTAATAAACTGAGGGGGAAAAAGGCAGCTCTGGGAATATGGATTCACCCTGTGATGGTATTCACACTCACCCTGAAAACTCAGGTTCATACTGTATGTCAGGTCAGGGATTCTGATGCCACAACCCCTCCCTAAGAGTCTTACAAAACTTTACAGACATCTAGGGAAAATCAGAAGCCTGTGTTCATCACAACTAGCTTTTATCCCCAATTCCAGTATGATGCACAGGAATATTTTGCATGTCCAATTCTGGTCACCATACCGGGAGCCAGATATTCAGAAAAAGAGAGAAATCCCATAATTCCCAATTGATTATGTTGGCATGGCCCAACAGGAGTTGTAGTTCAACATTTAAAAAGCACCAGTGTACAAACACATTAACAATAAATGGACTTTTCAAATGTACTTAAAATCCATTATTACTACATTGAATTGTATTGGGCACTACCACTGCAGAAAGCTTCTGTGGATATTTTTGCCCGTTTAAAAAACTTCAGACATCACATTTCCATCATTACAACAATACAGTATGATTGCACTTTATTTCACTATCTTTTAATAGTATGTGGATTCAAAGTCCAGAACTATAAGAACATAAGAAGAACATACAAAGAGTCCTGCTGGCCAAGGGTCCATCTAGTCCAGCTTCCTATATCTCACAGTGGACCCACCAGATGCCTCTGGGAGCACATGAGACAACTAGACACCTGTCTCCTGATACCCCTCCCCTGCATCTGGAATTTTGAGGTACCTTCCTGCTAAGCCTGGAGATTATACATCTCCATCATAGCTTGTTACCTGTGATGGACTTTTCCTTCAGGAAAATCCCTAATCCCCTTTTGAAGGCATCTAGGCCAGAGGCCAACACCACATCCTGTGGCAAGGAGTTCCACAGACTAACAACATGCTGGGTAAAGAAATATTTTCTTTTGTTTGTTCTCACTCTCCCAATGCTCAATTCGAGTGGATGTCCCCTGGGTTCTAGTATTGTGTGAGAGGGAAAAGAGTTTCCCTCTATTCACTTTATCCATCCCAAGCATAATTGTATACATCTCAATCATGTCCCCCCTCAGGCGCCTTTTCTCTAGACTAAAGAGCCCCAAACACTGTAGCCTTTCCCCGTAAGGGAGATGCCCTAGCCCAGTCATCATTTGAGTCACTCTCTTCTGCACTTTTTCCATTTCTACTATGACTTTTTTTGAGGTGTGATGACCAGAACTGTAAGCAATACTCCAAGCTCCTTACCAGCATTTTGTACAAGGGCATTACAATGTTGGCTTTTATATTTTCAATCCTCTTTTTAATGATACCTAGCATGGAATTGGCCTTCTTTACTGCCGCCGCACACTGGGTTGACACTTTCATTGAGCTCTCCACCAGCACACAAAAATCTTTCCTGATCCATCACGGACAGCTCAGAACCCATTAACTGATAACTAAAGTTTTGATTTTTTGCCTCAATGTGCATTACTTCACATTTTCCTATATTGAAATGCATTTGCCATTTTGCCGCCCATTCTCCCAGTTTGGAGAGATCCTTCTGGAGCTCTTCACAATCCCTTCTGGTCTTCACCACCTGGAAAAGTTTTGTGTCATCTGCAAACCTGGCCACTTCACTGCTTATCCCTGTCTCTGCGTGATTTATGAAGAGGTTGAAAAGCACCAGTCCCAGGACACACCGCTTTTCACCTCTCCTGATAAAGCATCTTGATAATGGAAAGCTCAAAAGCACAAACACTGCCTCATTTATTACAGTGTAAACTAGATAACTCAGTAAGTTAAGTATCTGGTTGCAGAGCTGGAGGTTGGAAGTTCAACTCTCCACTGTGCATCCCAGAAGAGCCAGTCTGTACGGCCTTGGTCAAGCTGCACAGTGCCAGGATGCCCCCAGAAGATAAGCACTTATATACCACCACATAGCATTCAAAACACTTTTTTGGTGGGTTACAATTTCATTATGCAGGCTGCACATTTCTCCCCCCACAAGCTGGGTTCTCAATTTACTGACCTCAACAGATGGAAATCTGAGCCAGCCTTAAGTCGGCTACCTAAGCCTGTTCAGATCGAACTCAGGTCGTAAGCAATGTCTTGGCTGCAAAAGATATACCACTTCTGTGTACTGTACTCTCTACCTAGA